CAAGGCCGCTCCACTCAACCTGAACGCAATCCCCACTGAACCATGGTCCCACATTTCAGTAGACATGGTTACCGGCCTACCCAAATCCAATGGGCATGATGCCCTCCTTGTAATCGTTGACCGCTTCTCAAAGGAGATTGTACCAATCGCCTGCAACGTCGAGCTCTCGTCAGAAGGATGGGCAAGGATACTCAGAGACCAGGTCTATGCACAACATGGGATGCCCACTCACATCATTTCCGACAGAGGCCCCCAATTCGTCTCCAAATTCATGAAGGACCTATACAAGATGCTGAACATCACACCAAATGCCTCCACGGCATTCCACCCACAGACCGACAGCCAGACTGAACAAGCCAATCAGGAGATCATAAAATATCTCCGAACCTTTGTAGACTACTGACAGGAGGACTGGGCAGAATGGCTAGCGCTCGCTGCCTTCTCCCACAACAACCGAGTCCACTCTGCAACCAGCAAGTCACCATTCTTCGTAAACCATGGAATGCACCCCCAACTCCTATCGGAGTCAATCCACGAAACACCATTCGACAACCCCAGTGCTCAGGACTTTTCGACCACAATGATAAAGATCCACCAAGACACACAGAAGGTGCTAACAGAGGCTGTGGCCACAATGAAAAAGCAATACAACAAGAAGACAAAGCCGGCACACGGGTACCAGGTTGGAGAACGAGTCTGGCTAGACACGCGCAACCTCAACCTACCGCGTCCCAAGAAAAAGCTGGACGACAAGTGAGTAGGCCTATTCCTCATCCTCAACAAGGTAGGGATGGCAGCATATAAATTGAAACTCCCACCACACTGGAAGATTCACCCCACGTTCAATGAAAAATTGCAGTCACCTTTCACACCACCCGCATTCCCCAATCAAGAAGTACCACCCCCGCCTCCACTGGACCTGATCAAAGATGAAGAGGAGTACGAAATTGAAGAAGTATTAGACTCTCAAACACGGAGAGTACAAGGAAAGAAGGGACAGAAATCCAAGACAACAACGGACTACCTGATCAAGTGGAAAGGCTGGATGCAAGAACATAACTTGTGGGTATGAGAGACGGAGATGGAACATGCACAGGAAGCGATAGAGGAATATGAACAACACGTCGAGCATGCCAGATGCATAGAAATAACAAAAATCGTAACCTCAGACGACAAATATGTAGAATATTGGGAAATTCTACATACACAACAACCCCAGAGACGAACCCTAATGACAGTCGGGACGACTGTCTTAACGAGGGGGTAATGTTATGATTTATTCACATTTTCACCAATTTTCCTCATCTAAGTGCTCAAGCGCTTATCTTCGCAACCTAATCGCCACCATCTAATCCTTATCATCACCCCGCCGCACCAACTCCATGACTATAACAGTCGACTACCATTCTCTCACTATGGCTCACCTCCACCACAAGGTTACCACTCGACTTATTGTCATACCCTCATTGTTCACTCATTGCCACTTACCGATGGACTTATTATTAGCACACAGACATTAGTATATAAGTAGCATGACTCTCGCTGTAATACCTCAGCTTTGAGCTATAGTTTATCAATACCAATCTCACTCTCTTAAACGACTAGCACCTAGTGCCACGCCTTAACAAGTCCATCACTACAGCCTTACTCTGGTCATCGGTGTCCACTGGTATATGACTAAGAGTTTACGCTTGTTTGGATCACGTGAGACTCAGGTCTAACATAGAGGATGAGATAGAAGAAGGGGGGCTGAATGTGCTGAGAGTGGTCTCCAACTCAGTGAGCACATCCATGGTGATGGTCCAGAGGGAAGAACCAATTGCAAGATCATGCACACTTTTGGTGGAAAATTTTCCATGGTGACAAAATTGTCATTACTACTGGCTAAACATCACTGAGTGAATTAAAACATACTATGAGAGGTCTGAGAAAGTCTACGAGACAATGTAACAATGTTAAAAAGCAATATAAGCAAGGGAACATGAAACCATAAGAGGCAGAACATCTAAAAAGTTTAGAAGCAAATATAAGCTAGGCAAAGCAAACACATGAGATGGACAGAACAATTAAGCAAAGTAACAATCCAAACAAACATATCAAACCTACTCTTCATCATCTTCATCACAGAGGTCAGCATATCAGTCAATATTACCATCTTCTTCATTGCCATTGCCATCTTCCTCATCCCTGTTGTCACCCCCTTTTTAGGAGGGAGTGCTTAAACTGGTGGAACCACCCTCACCATGGTCCTCCAATTAGTGTGGCATAGGCATCACAATGAGCACTGGAAACATCTTCTCATCCTTTGTGGCATCACAGACAGCAGTGAAGAGGGTAAGTGTTGCATTGGACATGTACTGAGTCACCTCCTCTCAGTGGAAGTGGTCTAGAAGATGGGGAGTGCTGAAGAGATCATTTAGGTGATCAGGAAGGAAATCTGAAAAGTGCATGGATGGGTGACCAGCTGCAGTGAGGCCCACATTCAGATGCTCTTCCTCCATTGCAGTGCAGCACATTGAGTCTTGAAGGCTGAGAAGCTGGATATGTAAGGAATGCAGAGTGGCATGGCTAAGTGCTGTGATGCTTCCAGCATCAACAGTGGTGCAATAGGCTGTTGCTTCAGAATTGCTGGTGAACCCAGAGGGTAGGCATACATGATTACTACTCATATGCCCACTTCTGGTCCAGACATCTCATTGATAAACTCCTGGAAAATATATTGAGATGATGATTCAGCAGAGACTTTGAACAAGCATACCTTGCTCTTCTTCTTGGGAGGCTGTTCATTATATGTAGCGCCATCAAAACAAAATATTATAAACTCACCAGCAGAATCTCCTTGCCTTTTCCTTTGATATCCTTCTTTGAACTGCCTTCCCCAGCATCCTATAAAATGTGATTAACATTTCTTCTTTTACAAAAGACACTCACATTTGATGGGCTAGCAAATGGGTTTTTCTTAGATTCAGAATCTATGACAATGGTCTCCTACAAGTTGGAAACATCAGACAAATAAGACAGATAAGGAGAAGATACACACCACTGCTGGAGCTACTTTTTTAATAGGCATAGGGGGAGGCAATGCATCATCTGGTGAGTACTCATCGTACACCAGTAAAGGCTGCTTCACTTTCTTCAAAGCAAGCTTCGACATCTTACTTAAAATAAGGATGAAGTTGGATCAGACAAATCAAGCATGCATACCAAGGTGTCTGTCTAGCAACTGTCAGCAATGTCCTCCTTGCTCCCCTTCTTGATCATCTTTTTGGCCTGTACTGCACCAGGAGAATCAGGAGTGGAGACATATGTGTGCTTTGACTGAAAAGTACTTAGAACAAAATTATAATCAAATAGAGATGGAACATACAGAGTTGGATTGGTCTTTGAGGATGGATTTCTTTTTGGACAGACTTGTGTTAAGGGCCTTCTATCTACTAGAACAGAAATCAATATAGCAAAGATTGAAAAGGGAGGACAGCTTACTTTGATTTAAAGTTGCTGATAATCATGTCATGGTTTCTTTTCTTGCTGATACAGGCTTTCTACCCTTGATAGGTGCAAACATTGTGGTAAGAGGACAAGACACATCATGTAGGGAACCTCCTTTTTATGGGGAACAGAGTTTGTGGGGAAAGCCCAATGTGGAAATCAAATTTAATATTTAAAATTAATTGCATATGTGACTGTGCTTCAGATTTGAGTTCACCACTATGGCCTCCTGCACCAGACACAATGCAGAGGAGAATGACAAGTACATGGTCAACACTCTTGCTACTGTGGAGTTTCAAGAGTTCATAGAAGAAATGAATGAAGCATCCAAACATGCTTTATTTTGGTCAAACTCAACAATACAATGCTGACTTCATTTCTGGGACAAATTCATCACATTCCACTGCAAAAATCCTACACTGGCTTGATATGCTGACAAGATTTTTCCCTTGGACTCCCTCACCAGTGAGTACACACTCAGGCTGTTGCCCAATACCAGTCTTACCCTTTACATAGATCGTGGCTGCTCTTATCTTACAATGCATGTGCAAGTATCACAGGTGATTGTCAGGAAAGGGCCTGATGGATTTGCAGCAAGAATGAGCTGGCCCAGTCTTAAGGCTGTTCATGATGATCTTTTGGCACTGGTTAATTCACCTCCAATCCTATTAGGGCTAGACTCAGGTAAACCAAATGAGAGTAAACTGCCTGACTATACTGGGTTGCACCTGAGTCAGACAGAGTCTCAATGTGTTTAGTAGGGACCGAGTACTGGCTCAACGATCAGGTTGTTGTGAGTGAATTGAGGGAAGAATGGTATTGGTAAACTTTAGCTTGAAGCTGAGTATTACAGCTGAGAGCGTGTTACTTATATACTAAAATGATAGTCCTAATAATAGCTATTGGCGATGGTGATGGTGAAGATTTGTAGAAGTTGATGCAACCGTCGCAAACGTGATGCATATAGTGCCAATGTGAAGGCCTGAAGGGTGAAAAAGTAAATAAATCGTAACAAATCCTTCCACTTGTGCACTTTTGATGACTCCTAGATAATCAACTTTTGTCTAGATGCAACCAGGGAACTTAGAGATGAGTGGACAGAATGCTTAAACTCAGTCAGTCTTTCTGTTACCACTGCTACATCTTTCACATGTCCACTGTTGCCAGCACTGCCAACATTTGGTGGAGATGTACTCCATGGTGAAGACTCAATGTTCCAAGCAGTATTGGGGTCCTCAAGAACTACATCTCCTCATTGAGCAGGGCTTCAAGAATATTATACATCCAACATCAAGGCAAAGCTTAGACATGGTGAATCCTTCTAATGACTGGTCATCACTTTGTTTAATTTTCTTTAAATTCTGCAACACAGCTTCCTGTGGACCCTTCTCCTTATGACAGGCTGTAGACAAGAATTCTTGCTCTGCAATGATGTGTACTTTAATGAATATATGTGTTACAAGGTGTCCCATCCATCATCACAACTATGAGTTCAAGACAGCAAAAAGCAATGCCTCCGACCCGGATTGAACGAGTGACCTTCGCATGAACACCCACTCGGTATACAAGTGCGACGCGCTACCACTACGCCACAAAGGCAATAATGTACAATCAAACGAAGCTCTCTAGGCCGATCAGTCACTGAGATGTTTGTTGCCCTCCATACCGACTCCTTACATCTACATACATGTTTTCTAACTGTTTGAATCTATAGTATGCTTCGAATGGAGTATTACTGCATTAATAGCACAACCTCTGAATATTTGACTTCCCCCAAAACAAAATGAATATGTATTCAAGTGCGCTACCTGCTAACAGCTGTAGTTTCTACTAATAATTAGGTCCATTTTCCATATCCCTACAACTTTTCCGAACATCGCTACCATGTCTATCCATGAATTTACGAGAAATGGGAGGACTTACCCCTTGTGCGGCTGTCCCGGCCCGGTTAGCTTTTTTATGACTGACCGTCATCAGTACATCTGCCCCGCTACCTCAAAACAGTGAGATGTAATATGTCGGAGAAGCCGTGATTTGTATCCGGTTGATTAGGCTTTCTTGTATTCACGTTCGTCCACGAGCGAATCCACCTGGCAATAGTCTCACAGCCCACCGATTTCTGACACCAGTACGTTCGTTCAACTTGTGCTTCACTAGATCGTTCAAATATAATCATTCTTTTCGACAGGAAAATCCCATACGGCATCTTGAGAACCCTGCTATTCTTGGTGTGTCACCGGACACCACTATGCATGACAAGTAATCCGGAAGAGCCATGCCATCCAGCGGGCCTTCTGAACATCTGGTGATCACTCCTTCGTCATTTGATGAGGTGGTGACATTCCGCGAAGCGATTAAAAATGTGCCCCATTGATTTCCACCTGGTCATTCGTATGTTGCTTTACTTCCTTCTCCTTCCGGTTGTCCTCGCGCTCGCTCCAGGCGGTCCCTGGGATACGTTTAACTATGCGCCAAAGTCAAAGACTGTCTACCCTCAAGACGTTTACAAGACAGTAGGTTCGGTGTCTGGTGGCAGCAAACTTGTAGGGAACACCGGAAGCGCGACTTTGTCTCCAAAGTCATGGATCGCGCTGGATTTTGGGATCGAGGTGTGGCAGCATTTCACCTTTTCGAAGATTCAAGCCTCAAAAACCATGTAATAGGTCGGGGGACTCATTTCACTCAGTTTTGACACCATCGATACTACGTCCTCAGTATCTCTCGCTTTCACAGAGTCGCCAATGTTTGTCAACCCGCTTGCTTCAGATGACTCTTCGTACCCGTCACCCAACATGACTTACGATGGTGTTTTTACCATTCCTGCGCCGTTGGCAAAGGGATACTGGACTCAGCCTTCTTATTCCCTCCGTGGCGGCTTCCGATATTTAACCATCGTGTCCCATTCGAAGACTGATCTCAAAATCTCTAACGTCTCTTGCGCGATTTCGTTCATGCCTCATGTTGAAGATTTGAGGGCTTATACAGGTTACTTTTCTGCCTCGGATCCTGGGTTCCATGATCCGGATTTCCTGACAAAAGGTCTGATCTATTGCGCACAATTTTATAATGACTAATCGACGATCTAAAGTAGTGGTACGCTGGTGCCTACACCGTACAGACGAACACCGTTCCTCTTGAAACAGGCCGAAAGGTCCCAGTTCGCTGCAGCCTGGTAGTATGTCTATTTTCATTGAACCTCTCTTTCCCATCTCAATACGGATCAGGTTGGTTCAACAACGCAACTCTTGGCGTCGCAGGTCCGATAATCGTTGACGGTAATGTGTCCCATTTGTTACATGTCATTCCAGGGACTCATAATCTTACAGGCGCAAAACGTGACCGGTAGGGCTTCGGTATTCCGTTCGAGTTACAACGCGTCCTTGACTGTTCTATAATCCTGCAGTGCAGTCTGGCCTGGAGATATGGGTATCGCAGTCCCTACTCAGTTCGTCTCCACGTTAGATTTAATCCCCACAAGAAACGCGTTATCTACTATGTTTGCTGCGATTAATCCCCAAACGGGCGCATTACCAGAATCTGGTCCTCCTCTGAGTCAGCTAGGTTCGGACACCTATCATGCCTGGACTCTTGTTGGAACACGTCAGTCTTTGTTCGTGAAAGTGATCTCTGAAGCTGATCGTTTTTGCACAGATAATTATTATCTTTATTCTGGAGATCATGATTGGCTTAGTACCGTCTGGACCAACTATACTCGTGCCGTCGCTTTCTTGGAAGGCAAAGTCGACAGCACAGGGTTAATGGATGTCACTGGACTACGAGATTGGGCTCGTCTAGGTGGAGGTGGATACAATGCTGAGGGAAATGCGATTCTCTACAAGGCGAGCTGCATGCCTTCTCCCAGATATCCTCTCTAATGTCTTAATAGGTTCTTTTAACAGCGTCCGATTTAGCGAATTACATTGGCGACGAATCCCTCTCTAAAGCTTGGGAGGCAAACGCCACTGCACTGAAAGTAAAGTACAACGAAGCGTTCTGGGTGGAAGACGCGGGAATGTATCGAGATAACTTGACAACCTACGCTTTACCCGCAAGATGCGAACTCGTTCGCCGTTCTCTATAATTTGACTCTTTCCGACGATCAGAAGGTTTCTGTCAGCGAAGGACTGGAAAAGAATTGGAACGATCTCGGACCAGTGGCTCCCGAGCTTCCGGATACCATCTCGCCATTTATTAGCGGCTTCGAGGCGAGTGAAGGATATCGTAGACACAGTCGAAAAAGCTGACGGTAGTTCTCATCTATAGCTACAAGCACATCTTGAAGCCGGTCAGGACAACCGAGCACTTGGATCTTTTGCGTCGAGAATGGGGGTATATGTTATATACGAATTTATCCGTGCAAAGCACCTTACTGGAGGGATTTACAGCCAATGGATCTCTTGGGTACGTCGCAGCTGTTATCGTTTTCATACTTAACTCACGTCAACCTCAGCTATCGATCTTACAGAGGATACAATTACGATGCTGCATATACATCACATGCGCACGGCTGGTCTTCTGGGCCTACTTCTGCGCTTACGTTCTATATACTGGGACTGACCATAACGTCGCCCCGGGGCGCTACGTGGTCTGTGAATCCACATGTAAATGGCGGACTTCCTGGTGCCGAAGGCGGATTTGAAACTGGGCTTGGATGGTTTGGCGTAAAATGGGTAATGCATGCTAATCAGTTCTCTATGGAGATAAGCGCACCGGAGGGAACCAATGGTCGAAGTGAAGCTACCCATCGAAGGCTCTGTGGTGGTTGATGAAGAAAGTGTCGGTGTTACTACGGATAGGGAGATTACCTTGAAAGGAGGTAGACATACCGTGGTAATCATCCGCTAGTGGATAATTATATATCGGGGACGCCTCATCGTCGAAAGTCGTGCAATCGAATAGATGTACCTTTGCACATCCTCTAATAGGTACATTTTGGGTACGTCGATGATAAGCAGGGAATTTAAGTATTATGATCGCAGGGAAGAGAAAATAGTCTCTCGTGTTGACCGTCCAAATGGGACACATTACCACTACGCAGTACAGGGATTACGGACCCTGCAAAAAGTTTATACTAGATAAACAAGCATTTCAGCCCCCGGGCCGCTGACAGGCAGTTAGTCACCGTGGGTAAGATTTGGGCGGTGATTACTATATCAGGTTCAAGTCTTCGTCTTCACCTTACCACGATGAGTACGACAACATTGACATTGGTGTATGAATTTTTGATCTCTACCGCTGGTATGCCTATCATCTGTCAATTAAAACGCTATTTTACTGATCCTGCGTCTCTTCAGCACCCGAGTAGTACGTAACTACTAGCGGGAGCATATTTTGATTATGGCGTATATTTGGAGGGTATCTCTTGAGGTACGCCTGCTTGGACACCATTCAATACCAATTTCTTTTTCAAGCTTATTTCCCAGTGACCGGAGTTTTCGAGGTGCCCTCTTTCCCTACACGAAGAAACATACTACCATTTGAATATTTCCCTCTGCGTATGGGACCCCCCAGTAGAACTGACTTGCAAGGTACGATTCTGTCTCATTTGTAATAACGCACATGTAGCAGCTCAAAGCTGCGTGATGACGACTCGCCAAGTCAGCTTAGGTCACTGGCGGTCTCAGCGCAGCGTCTGTTTCGTTACAAATTATTTGATAACAGAAGCTACGCAGACCTATATACGTTTTACCTTCTGCTTATATGCACGTATATATCACCGGTATTGTGTCCGCCAAATTACCGCACATCCTCAGTTTCTCTAAAAATGACCTTCCACGTCATTTCAATGAAAGGATGCTTCCCTTTGATCTCATTCACAGACCCTGTATATCTCGTCCAACACGTATGCTCTTCAACGTGTCGCGTAGCTTCCAGTGTATCATATTGAACCCACGATACGTGGGCCATATAGACTCAGGAACGTGTAAGCCTGATTTTACGTTCAAAACATAGGTTCGCACTTACACAACCGTCAGAATCTCCTTTGGCGGTAGTCAGAGGCATTCTTTTATGCAAACTCTGAACATCATGTTTTACATCCGAATATATCCTACTCCGCCAGTAAGAACGGATGTATCTGTGACACGTCACGAGTCGCATAAAATCGTTGTACTGGTACTTACCACCATAGTGACCCGAGCTTCGCCTAAGTGAACCCCTGGTACCTTGCCAAGGAAAAACACGTGTACGTGATTTGCCCTTCTACGGTGCAAAATCTCAACTACTTTAAAGCACAAACGCCACGTTAACCGTTTACACTGTTCTAAGAAAACGGGTACCGTAAGAGGACCACGTCATCCCCGAGGCTTAGAAGCCAGACTATCACTGCCGTTAGTACATGCTTAGTTTATCTCTTCCGTGATCTGAATCACGCCGATAACTTCAAGGCATGCATGCAACTGTAGTCTTGTTTTTGTTAATGTAGGCAAAGCCGGCCCCGGCCCAATACTCATTGTACGTGGACCCAAAGGCTTCGACGTTTCTACTTTTGATCTCACAAGCAGAAATATGGACCTGGAGTGCAAGTCCGTCTTCTCGACTATCCCCTACGGAAAAATGATGATTCTGATCGTATCCTCGCTTGCTTCTGATGAATCTCA